CAAGAAACTTGGAGAGGACTTGGAGGTAATCCTAATTTTGAATTGGATACTAGTTTTAATTTAATTACTGAGAAAAGAAAGAATCGACCGGGAAAATATATGACAGATGTACCTGAAATCGATAGAATTTTGAATAACCGTAAGCTCCGTTCAAATATGAATACAGTTTTGAGAAATGGAAACTCATGCACACCGATTCAACTGWATAAAAAGAGGTTTATCGTAAGAAACACATGTCCATTCGATTCAGTAGCAATAATAATTGTAATAGCATACTATGATAATCATAATTATAAATGTTATCTTGATAATTGTGAAAATCTTTTTATAAACTTCTGCAAAGATTTAGCTCTCCATGGGCCATCAAAAACTATTTATAAAGAAAGGGCTGCGATATTAAAAGATATTTTTGAAGATGCTACTGGTATTTCAGGTGTTGGTATAATTGATACAACTTGTAACATTGCTTATATCATCAACAAACTCTTAAAAGATGCACCATCGGCAACAGAAAGTTTAAGTTGTTCAAATGAAAACTGTACAAATAATAAGAGTTATTCAAATCCAACTATAATTACTAAATTTAATGGTGGATTTTCATCAATGGAATCAACGATTATGGCATACTTAGACTCACGCAATTTTGATTGTACTGCACTTCACTGTAATGGGAATATAACAGCCAAACGAAAATTGCATAACCATTTATTCGTAGAAACAGAAGTATTTGCAAACGCACTACAATACTCTCTAACGACTTTTTGTCATAACCACAATCCTGTGAGTATTATAATATTGTAATATTAATTATGAGTTAATTAATAAACATGTTATTTCTAAAACACAACAAACACTAAGTTTTCCATAAGTTTTGCTTCAAATAGCTATAGAGAAAATTTGAAGCGTCATTATAGGAAAAATATTTTGAGCGTTTGAGTTTTAAATTTTTATTAAATCGCGTAATGATAACGATTTATCCTCAAACCAAGTATATGTATATCTATGATAATATAAAGTATTATGAATTATGATAACTACATGCAATGGTTTTGGACAAATTGATTAACCATGCCTTATTCAAAATGCGTCTTAATTGAAAAATAATTTATTTGTTTAAAAATAGAATATATGACAATATTTAAATATAATATATCCTAGACTGACAGATCATCTCCGTTCAGAATCGTTTTTCGTATATACAATGATACCTATCATTGCATTCAAATTTAATTCCATCCATTACAGTAACCTACTGTACACAGTGCCGCAACTAGGTTTTGTAGGGCCCTGATGCTAAAAACTTTATGGGGCCCCTGTACTTGCATTATACAGTATAATGAAAAAAAGTCAGTGCACAGATAACCTTTGGCAGATCCCTAATACTAGACAAAATGTATGGCCCCAAATTTTTAAAACTTTTCAAGCTCTATACGGCTTGACAAGCAGTATAGTAATGTGGCTATATTAAGTTCATCATATTTTTAAACACATCTCCAACAATACATCAGTTATCAGTAGTCAAATAGTCAAATAATTAATAAAAAGTAATTCATTTATTAAACAATATTATATTCAAATTTAAATAACAAAAAATAAACAATCAATAGGTACCTACTATTATAATTTATAGGTATTATACAAAGATTTTACTTTAAAAAGTTTTTTTTTCTTGACTTCATATTAGCAAAGTCATTTATCAATTTTTCAATATCTAGTTATTTTGTCCTTGATTTTTCTATGTTAAGTATACTTATGCCAGTTAATCTATCTTGCGAAATAGAATTCCGAAGATAATTTTTTAGGAGTTTTAATTTGGAAAATGACCTTTCGGCCGTAGCTACAGTAACTGGGAGACTTAAATATATAATACAAGCTGTGAGAATTTCACTGTAAAGGGATGAAAGATCATATTCAATTATAAAAGATGTCAATTCTTGAATAGTTTGAATTTTTGTATTTTTAATAAATTCTTTTAATGAAATTAGTTGTCTTATTAAATCTGATGTCACATCGTTATTGTAAAATGATATGAAATCATAACAAGATTTAACTATTTCTGACTCTTTCATAGTAACTATATTTTGTGGAAGTAAAAATTCAAAATTTCTTGAAACGGAATGAAGTCCTTTAAATCGATCACGTAACTGAAATAAAGCTGTATCAATGAGAGGATAAAAAATTGCTATACGAAATTTTTCTTCAGGCACATCTAATCGTTTATCTCCTTGAATTTCTCCACAGTATTGTTTTGAATATATTTTACGGGTTGTAGGTTTTGTTATAGATATACCCCATTTATGGCATAATCCAGTAGCAACAAGTTCATCATAACCATCTCTCATTTTTTCAATTGATAAAATTGTTCCTTGCAATAAATCACATGCCTTGTGAAGATTGGTTTGTGGTGATTGTAATACCTTTGATACAATTGATAAAGGTTTTAAAATATTTTCCCATATGGTCATTAACATAACAAATTCAAATGATTCCATTTTTTTTTTTCAGTGATTTGGCTCTATTTTTTTCATCAGTTTTGTCACTTGTTAATAATATATTAGTTAACGATTTTAAAACATTTATAAAATTAAATTTTAGTGAATGCACCGCGTTGTGTCTTGCTTCCCATCGAGTGGCACACACTTTTTTTAATACTTTATTTCTTATTTGATCTGCGGTCTTCTCACCAAAAGCCAATGATGTCCATCTAGGTGCACTCTTGCTAAAGAACAGAAATATATCTTGTACAATATCAAAGAATAAAGCTACTTTTTGAGAGCTTTTAGCAATATCAGAAATAACCAAATTGAGGTTATGAGCTGTGCAATGAATGTAGGAAGCACTTGGTACAACATCTGAAATCCTTTTTTGGACACCAGTATATGCACCACTCATAACTGATGCCCCATCATACCCTTGACCTCTACATCTTTTTATGTCCAATTTAGCACCATGCTTGATTAATGGATAAAATCCCAAAAAAGATTCCATTATTTTAAAAGATTTTTCTTCATAATCAACTATAACATATCTTATAATTAAACTAACCTGGTCTACTTTTGTGATATCTTGGGTTGAGTCCATTATTATAGCAAAGCATTGAGCATTTCGAATCTCGTCACAGATTATTTTTTTAACATTTGATGCCAAAAGTTCTATGAGCTCATTCTGTATTTTCCAACTAAGATATTTTATTTTCATCTCTTCATTGTAAAGTAACTTGTTCAATACAGGATCATATTCAGCAATAAGTTTAACGGTGCGTAGAAAATTTCCTTCTGAATCAGTATTTTTTTCCCCTTCATTTCCTCTTAATGCACAGTTTCCAGCAGTAAGACTTAGAATAATTTTTATTAATCTGGTCAAAACATCTTTCCAAAATTGAGCTTCAATTGATATTTGTTTTTCTACATTTTTTTCAATTGTTTCATTTTTAATCCAAAGTAATCGTATTTGAACAGCTTCTAAGTGTTGATGGGATTTTTCATGTTTCATTATTTTAGTACTCAAATTTTGCCAGTCACATATACCATGAATCCAGTTATACTTGAAATTTGCGTTTAATCTGTTGGCAAAGAGCCAACAAGTTTCACAGTATACCTTATTCATTATAACTGAAAAACAAAACCATTGCCTTGGAATTTTCATTCCAGTTATAGTAGTCAAGTGATAATAATCAATTGAAAAAGAATGACCAGAATTTTTCAAACTGACATTTTTCAAAAGATATTTGTTTGTTGGCTTACATGGACCATATGCGATGATTTGTTTCTTTAAGTTAGAATCAGTAATGTTGTCAGGGAATTTACCTCTATCAGTAGGGTATTCTGAATTCAAATCAAGTGTAGTATTTGCCACTAAAAAAACAAAAACAATTGATTAAAATAAACGATAATAAATAAGTTTAATAAAATAAGTCAGTAAAATAAAAATAAATAGGTTTGTCATATTAAGAAATTCTTAGTTATTGCATAAAATACCCAAAAATGCTTGTAAAAAAAAATAAATATTATACACATATTTAAAAATAGTCAGATACTGACATACTGTACAGAATTCCTAAGCAATACATAAAATGTCATGACTATACATATTAACGCTAACACAAAATATATTATTTTATTACCATGTATAGCAGATGATTCAGTGTCCAATATAATATCTGATTCAACTCCATGTCTTAGATGGTAATTTTTATCTAAAATAAATTTTAAAAATATTAAGGATTATTTACTGTTATTTGCTTAAATTGTTATATTATAACAAACAATGTTAAGTTAAAAAATGTAAAACTTTTTAGGAAAAAAAAAAGAATACACAATAATAATAAAATCAATTATTAAGTACCATTTATTGCAGGTGATTCAGTGTCCAATATAATATCTGATTCAACCCCATGTTCTAGATGGTCATTTTCATCTAGAATACATTTTAAAAACCTTATGGATTATTTACTGTTATTTACTTAAATTGTTATATAAATCAATGTAACATATTATAAATGCTTAGTTAAAAAATGTAAGACTATTGAAAATAAATGTTTGAAAAACATATACCAACTATTCATTATATTTTTTTATAAATTAACATAACATAAAATATAAAAACACAGTATTTTACAATATTTGAGTATTGGTAATGCAATATTTTTTTAATAAAGAGTTATAATATGAATATAGAGTTAGAAATGCTACTAGTAGCTACTAAAATTACAATATTCACAGTAATTTATTGTATTGGTTAGGTTCTAAATAATATTCCTAACTATCACAATTTGAAAGTATTCAACAACATCGTAGTAATTTCTTGTTGGGACTATCGATGTAATTCATATTATTATATTATGTACCTAATGACTTATTGTTATGTATTTTTAGGTAATCGTATATCTGCTTATTTCTGACACGGTACGCAGCGACAGCCAGTACAAAGTACAGGTACCGTTGCGACCGGTCTACGACTTAATCAACCAYCACCACGGGTGACAACGACGCGGCACCGTCAACTCTCCCTCCACGCCGCAAAGGCTAGGCGGGACGCCAAGACAAGTCACGCCGGACGAGTACCGGCCGCCGCCGATCGTGAACTCGTTCACCGACCGTCGTACCGACAACCGAAAAACGGACGATCAATACGACACACCGACTCGTGCGCGCTGACAACGACACTTAGTGTTATTTCATTTTCTTTTTGTTCATCCAATTGCTTAGCGAATAAACGTGGCCTAGCCACATTTCACCGTACCGTCAGTGTTAAGTTCTTGGGTGTTCCCTCAC